GGGGGGGGGGAGGGTACACAGGGTGGGGGATGCACGGGAATGGGGGTGCACAGTGTATGGAGGTGTGCGGAGCTGGGGCATGTGGGAAGGAGGGGCTGAGGTGTGTTGGGCTACAGGGGAAGCAGGGTGCTGGTGTATCGGGGTACACAAGGACAGGGGTGCATGGGGAACAGGGTGTGTGGTGCTATTGGGCTGCAGGGGGCTGGGGTGCAGAAGAATGTGTGGTGCCCAGGGAGGGGGGTGCAGGGTTTACACAGGTGCACAGTGAACTGTAGTGCAGGGGAGAGGGCTTACAGTATGTTGGGGTGCACAGGCACTGGGGTGCAGAGTGCATTGGGGTGCACAGTGTGCTGGGGTACAGTATGCTGGGGTACACGGGGGCTCAATGTATTGGGGTACACAGGGACAAGGGTGCATGGGGTGTTGGGGTACAGGGGGTGTTAGGGTACATGGGTGTGGTTTCTGGGGGTGCCTGGGGACCAGGCGCAGGGTGCAGAACTATGGGGGTGCACAGGGATCTGGGGCCCCGGGCTGCTTCTTGAGAAACACCCACATTTGGGTCAAAAAGAGGGAATTTCTGCCCATCAAGATCCTTTGGCAGGCGAGTAATGGGGCTGGGGGGGAAAGCAGGGGGGTCAAGCTGTTTTGCTGGTTAGGGACATCAATTAAACTCAGACACCAGAGTGAAAAGAGCAGGTGTATTTTACTCAGAATAACTAAATAATGTAACAGAATAATACATAAAACATACAGTGAGAAAAGAAGAGTGCACTTAAACAAATGGGAAAATACAGGGTAAGGCATCAAATCATGACTGCCTGAGAGAGAACAGCGATTCAGACAGATCCATCCCCATCACGGACTTTACCCCCCCAGCCCCCAGCCCCGCGGGCAGCCCCGGTTACACGGGGGTTGGCAGAGCCTGGCCCAGGCAGGGGGAAATCCCACGCAATGCCTCCGCCCGGAGCTGAGGCCTCCAGAGTCGCTGGGAGTGGGTCCGACCTTAGAGACCCAAAAATCAGCCAGGCGGAAGAGCTGGAGCCTTTGTTTAAGCGGAAATATCTGGTTTCAATCTGACAGGAGATTCCCCCAGAGCCTGACCAGGGCTCAGGGGAGGAGCTCAGGGAGTTTCCCTGCTCATCTCATTGGACTATGAGCAAGGTCTCACATCAGGCCACAGCAAAAGGCAACGGTCTCCACGACCCGGTTATTTTATCCACACACAAAGAAACATAAATATACATTGAAGATAGCTACATCTTCCAGACACATTTCACTAATGATAACACTGAGTTAGCAGCTTTGGCTCAGGGCCTGTTGTTCAGGCTTCAACACTTCCACCTTTTACATCGGGATAGGGGGTTGGTTATCACTTCCTATAACACCTGTTGGCATAATGGTGACCAGTTATGAAATATCCAGGATTCACCTACAGATCAACTCTGGCTTATGCCTATTGTCCAAGCCTGAAGCACTTCACAAGCTCAGCTAAACCCGGTTCTTCCAAGTCCCCCCTTGGTGTGGCGACGGACTGAGCGGTGCTGAGCCCCCAGAAAAACCCAAACCAGCGTTTGCCCAAACAGCTCCTTTAATAAGGAAAAACCCGATGGCTGCCGGGGGATGAGAGGCACCAGGAACAGCCCATTCACACCAGAACCCAGCAGCTGCCCCGCCCCGCAGAGAGAAAATGCAGCACAAAAATAGATCTTCTCACACCAAAACACGGGGGGTTCCCCGCCTCCGCTGCAGGTCTCACAGCTTTTATAGAAAAAGGGGTTTTGGCACTTTACGACTCACAGAGACCTTCAGCATTGGGGGTTTATGGATTTTTATGTCCCTTTTAATAGTTTTTTTTCAAACTCTACGCTTCCAGCGCTCCCATTTGCCAGAATTTCCAAGAGATTCTCCTCTCCCATTTATAAAAAGGGGTTTTGGCAAATACTGAACAACTCTGCTTTGAAACAAACCCAAGTAGTTTTTTTCCCCCCCAAAAGCCCACGGGTTTCTAGAGCCCCAGGGGCTGCAGCCACGGGTCAGTCCGTCCGGCTCCCAAAACCCACGGTTCTGAGCCCAAAACAAGCAGTGACCCCTCCCTGGGCAGGGAGCAGAAGGGCAGAGCCGGGCCTGGGCCGGAGGCACCTGCCAGGGCAGAGCTCGCATGGCTGCCGGGGGGTCTTTGTTATATAGAATAACAAAATAGTTTTAAAAAAAAATGAAAATAAGGAAAATAAAAGCAAAAAATAAAATAAAAACCCCAAACCACCAAAAAAAGGTCAAAACAGCAAAACCCAGCAAAACAGCAAAAAACCCCAAAAAAGAAAACACGAAAAACCCCAAATTTGCCAAAACCCCCAAATCATCCAACCCATGAAAAATACAATAAACACAAAACCCTAAAACCACAAAAAACCCCCCACCAAAATACAAAAAAAAAATCCCCAAACCATCAACCCCAAAGGAAAAAAACCAACAAAAACTATCAAACCCACCAAAAAGCCAGAAACACCAAGAAGCTAAAACCACCAACTCCCCCCAAAACATAACCCAAAAATAAGAAAAATACAAAAACCGCTGACACGACAAAACCCACCAAAGCCCAAAACCTGAAGTACAAAACACACCAAACCCAAAACCCACCAAAACCCTAAAAATATCCCAAAACCAAAACCCCACAAATAGCTTAAGCCAACAAAAAACAAAAATAAACCACAACAATAATAGAACAAAAATAAAAACAAAACCCAAGCCAAATACAAAACAGAAAAAAACCCCAAATTTAAAAACACCTCAGAAAGAAAAAACAGCCAAGAAATAAAAAGACAAAAATAAAAATCTCCTCTCCCAAACCAGCAAGTCCAGCCCGGCTTTCCCCTTCCTCCTCTGCAGCACAATTCCCAGCAGCAGCCTGGAGTCCAGGTAAGAGCAGAAGAGATGCAGGATGATCTGGAAGCAGAAAAACAAATCTTGCTTAAGCGTCCTTAAAAATACAGCAGCTTTCCTGCCATAATCCTGGCTATTAGTTACAGTTTTGGCGATTGCAACGCTGACTCAACCCCAGTGCGTTCAGGAGTTTAACGCTTTAAAGCAGAGATTCCAACGGGCCCGGCACGCCACGGCTGTGAAGGCAGGTTTGTTTTGTCCAGCAGCGAAACAGCCTCAGTCACAACACAATAAACTGAGGCTGCATGTCAGCAGCTCGGTTCCCCCACGAGCAGCTTTATCCTGGCACCCTGCAGAATTTGGCAAAGTCACGGATTTAGCAGATTTAGGCCACAGACTCCAAGCAAACTGTTTTAGCGATGGGTCCTGTGCTACCTGTGAGGATTTGGCTCAGAAGGGCAGCTGGAATCCAGTGACAGCAAACCTCTCCTTGTACCTCACAAAAGGCCAAACAAAAAACACTGGAGAAATCTGAGCTGGCCACGAGTCTTATTAAAAATGCCAAAATCTGGAAATAAAATGGTAAAATGAGTATCCAGTAAACCATGTTGCAGCCTGCTATTGGTGGCTTAATCCTTCCCGGGGAGGTCTCAACATTTGACGGGGGTAACATCACCCAGTTACCTGTAAGGTGATACTGGCTGTGCCCATTCTATAGAATGGGGTCTGTCTCACAGAAAAAACAAGAGTTTCTCTGAGCTAAATGGCCAAAGTCTCCAGAAATCTGGGAGATGCGCCTTGGAAAGCACAGCTTTGTATTACCTGCAGTGTGATCAACAAAGAGGCAAAATTATATTTTTTATTCTTGCAGTAATTGTCTCAAGTCACTGAATGTCTGAACTTCATGGCAGGTGTTTCTTTTAATCTGTTAGATCAGAACTTCTTTCCCAGGATTCCTGGAAGTTTCATTCCAGGGTGTCCTCCTCTGTCTCATCATCTTTAAACAATTTGAGCTCACCCCGCTGTGGGTCAAGACACCGAGACCTGCTCCGTGGCCAGTCACTGTCACCTATTTCATCATCTTCACAAATAGAAAATCAAATCCTATTTCAAGGCTGATTTTGTACAACTTCAGCTTCCAGCAACTGACTCTCATGATATGTCAGCAAAGCTGTGAAGCTCTGACATTCACATCTCCGGGGTTTTATCCTCCCAAGTAACTGAAAATCTGTTTACTGTGGGGAAAAAAAAAAAAAAAATGCCTAAACTCAACTGTCAGATACAGAGTTCAACTGAAGACTCACACCATAAAGCCTCATTTTCGACTCCTTGAATTGTTCTGGGCTCCTCCTTATATTTCTCTTCATCCCCTCAGTTGAATTTCCAAGCCCTGTTTACACTGGGGCGCTGTTCCTCCTGACCTCTCTGATTAATGAGCGAAGCATCACTATGAGTCTTGTCTCCCCTGGGATATGCAACAGATTTCACATTTCTCACAAAACAGTACTGAATTAAACCGCAGCCATGACACTCCATCTGCATTTTCCCCTTCTGTCTATTAGAGCAAAGGAAAATGAGAACAAGGCCAAAGCTTTTCCTTGCATTAGGAATTGTCAGGTTAAGGCAGACATTTGCCTTCCTAAAACAAAGAGCAAGGGCAGCGCCCCAGCGAGATCCCCAGTGTGGGTACGTATGCCTGGTCGTGAACCTTCTGCATCACTGACAATGTAAAAATCATCAGCATTCAGGTTAGAAGATTTAAAGACGTCTAAATTAATGATGCACTTGTGTTAGGAGATTAACGGCATCTAGATTAACGACGGCTAAAAGCAAAAGTATTTGTGCTTGTTAGGGAAGAAACAGGTAAGAAGGGATTCTTTAAAATAACAAAGCAAAAACTTATCTACCAGCTGCGCGTGGTTAGTAGTATTTGTCGAAAGTTCTGAGAGGAACTGTTTTTTGAAATGAGCACGCACAAGGGCAACACATGGATTTGCTGTTATTTTTAGAATGTACAAGAATATATAAGGAATTGCTTTTCTAATAAACTTTGGAGCATGACTGTTAACCATATTGGTGTGTGTCTTGATTCTGGCCTTGTCCTGCAAAAAAGAGTTTCCTGTTACAGCCTGGCTGTCAGGCTGCTCCCTGCAGGGACCTGACCGACACTGCAAAGGAGTCGGAGAGCCTGGCCTAAGGCTAAGTCCTGCACTTGCACTGCTGTGATCTACGCAACGTCCAACCCCGCTGGCACTGCTTCCCATGGAACCCCACTGACCCAATGAGATTCTCTCTGGAAACAATGCCAACAGGATTTTACCCTGTTCCTCAAAAGACTGACTGGCTGCTCCCTCCACAGAACCTGCACCAAAAGGCAACCCTCCGCTGAAGGAACATCTGACGCCACCAACGCTCAACCAAATACTGCCGGTTTGGGGTCTGATCCAGCTAGGGCACCAGAGCGCTGAGGGCTGGAATGAACGCAGCTCTCAGGGGCGCTGCCTGCTTCAGACTGCTGATGGTGGCTTCTGAAAGAGAGGAAGCGCCAGCACAGGTCAGCCCCGAGCACCACAGGGCCCCCAGGTGCCGCCTGCGCCAGGCGGGGATACAGAGAGCTCCCCTGCTTGGTGCCTCGCTTCAAGCCCTAGAAACAGGGACTGTCTGACAATGCCCCACAGAGCCCTTCCAATTCCAGCGGAGGAGGAGATGTCACCTTGACGTGACAGAACAGAGAAGCTACAAGGAACCAACGTGGCCTTTGAAGAGCAGAGGGAGAGTAACAGAGCGGGGCCGAGAGTGGCACTGGCCAGTTTCTCTAGAGGCACGGCAGGAGCTGCGGCTCTTGAGGGGACCCAGGAAAGAGCCCCCAAAGGTGGGGGTAACTGAAAGGCAGCCTGTGAAATGGAGGTGTGGGTGAAGCGCTGGAGTCACCAGGATTTGAAATTCATCTGGATTTGAAGTAAGAAGAGCAGCAGTTGTTTGAGAATTGTCTAAGCGGCAGAAAAAACACAAGTGGAGTTGATGAGAATTGTCCTAACGAGTTGTTGAGGGCAGCATTTGGCAAGAGGTGTAGTAGTGGAGAGAGGGAGAGTTTGTAGGGAGAGAGTGAGAATTTCCATCCAGAAAAACGCGGCAGGAGAAGCAAGGGGCAGGGGGCGGGGGGAAGCAAGGAGGGAAGGAATTGGGGGGGGGA